CGGATATACAATGAAAAGTATGCAAAAGTAAAAATTATAAAACATGTAGACAGTTGCCAGTCACGTACAATCCAATAAAAAAATGCCAGAACTATGCACTTTTCATCAAAAATCATTGTTCCTCCGTCGTTTGATTTATTTTTGACTATAGGAAATGCGTTTTTCTAAGATATATAAACTTTCGAGGATTAACTGTATAGGCAATACATTCTTAATTCGCGCGATGACCGTCGCTGATTGTGAGACCGATTGTCCGGTTCGAAAGGCGGGCGATACTTTTAAATTAGGAACGAGATGCTTGAATCTGGGTTAGTGGGGCGAGTTTTCAACCAGCCGAACGAACCGAACACGTTCAAGGAACGCAACGTTGCTCCTTGGAACGAACATCCTTCAAGTCGAAACCTCTTCAGTTTCGATTAACCATAATCACGTTATTAAATAAACCTGAGAGTCTGATTCCATCTAACTATGATAAGATAATTAGGAACGTGATAACGTTATTCAGGATTAAGAGAACACTCGAACGAGGTAGATATAAAAATGAAAAGTGTAGGAGGAATTGTAAAGGGGATCGAGAGAAGGAGATTCCGGATGATCCACGAGATCGATGATCGATGATCGACGGCCGCGTGCAAGAGAGGATTTAATTGTCGCGTGAAAATGACCGCGTGATGATCTCTGTTTCAGTCTGAGCCCGAGCGTAGAGAGAAGCTCGCTAAAACTCGACCAAAAGGTACTTTGTGACTGGTTATTGACTGTTCTACATATATATATACATATATATTACCTGTATACATATCTATCTATGTATCTGTTACGTATGAGACTTATCTATGTACTTACGGTGTACGCGTGTACACGCGGCGGATGCGTGTCGCTTGCCTGAAACGTTTAAGCGAACGCGTCTTTAATTTGCGTGGTAATTCTTGAAATAAAATTAAAGAATCTATCTAGTGAATCAAATATAGAAATCTGTCTCTTGATCCGCGATCAAACGTTTCATATATTTTGTAATAGAGTAAAGAAACATTTGTTTTTAAATAAATGTGGTTCCGGCAGTTTTTGATAAACGAATTTTAGTTGAATCGAAATTAAAAAAAGAGGATGTAGGTTTTTAAATAAAAATTACTGACGACTGCTAAGTAATTCGTGCACGTGGACGCAGGTGAATTGAGACGGTCGCTCGCGTTTCTAATATCGGTCACGCATCCAAGAACTTCCGGTTCACGACGTGTCCGCGTATCGCGTACGTACGTACGTACACATGCACATGCATCACGGTGTCGTATATATACGCTCGACTGTTTTTTCTATTATATTATTGCTGTTCACGTTTGTCATATTTTCCTGTTTCCAATGGTTGTTTCTTTCTTTTTTTGTCACTTTATACTCTCTACTCTGTCTCTCTGTCTCTCTTCTACTTTTGTCGTGTCTCTCCTCCTCCTGTCTCTATATTTTTCTCTCTCTTTCTCTCTCTGCCACGAGTATGTTACGTACCACACGAACACGCGTTATACATGATCTAAATGAAACATCGCAAAGTACACGCAATCACACACACTCGCATAAGTGTATATCTAGGTAGGCCCTGTAGCTACACTGATTACAAAAAGTGTTGGCAAGTGTAGTTCCATCGTCGAGCTTCTTGACATTTCACGTTCCGATACCTTTTTACGAAAGCCAATACTTTTTGTACCTTATATATATATATATATTGCGCTCTCTTACAATGCTGTCTCTCCCTCTGTTTCTATTTTGTATATTGCCTGGCGATTCGCGTCCTTAGAAATTGCGATCGATAGTTCTCGGAGTGTCGCTGGAGAAAATTGCGAGAGTTTTATCTCGCAAGATTCGGTAGGCGCGTCGCCGGGGAATCGATGGAATACCGAGGAAAGTGCGAAAGCTTCGCACTGTCCTTGCAACGTTGCTCGCTGTCACGTTCAACCGAATTAGGTATTAGGAGAATTTAAGTAAAGAACTATTAATTTCTGATCAACCCCGAATTGTTTCGAAATTCTCAAGTCAGGCGTTAGACAATCGATGTCTCGATACGTGTCTCTCCAATTTTCATCTAAAATTCCATTGCGGGCATCTGGAACAAAAATTTGCTAACATACCGATTTCATACTGCTACTCCGTGTAATCTCCGCGATGCTACCTTCTCTAAGTTTCCGGATGGAAGGAATATGCACCGGTTCGCGCGAGGGCAGGGCGCGAATCGTCGACGCAGCTCGAAATTGCACAATCACACTCGCCCCGATCGTACCTCTAGCTTCATACCGGGTGATTCAATAAGAATTATCAACAGAGATGGTTCAGTATTCATTAGAAAGCTTTACACCGACCCATTACCAAAACTTGAAACCATTCAACATTTATTAAGATAAAAATGAATGAAATTTAATGAAATGCAAAGTTTATTTAAAATCTTAGCTATCCTTTCCATAGATTTGATATGTCATTATTTGCAACCTGATCGATTGTTTTTAAACTCTTTTTACTGAATGTGTATAAAATCAGTAGAGGAATTGTATTTTTTTATTCAATAGAAAATTCCATAATTTTAAT